AAAAAAAAAAAAAAAAAAAAAAAAAAAAAAAAAAAAAAAAAAAAAAAAAAGAAAGTTACTTGCGGACGGCTCCACCTCTTCCTGAACCTACCACGTGAGCCAGGCTTGCAGCCAGCTGACACCCTCCGAGGTTCCAGAGCCACAGAGGGTTTCCATCCTGGCTGCCTGGGTTCTTGACTTTGACAGTCTTCTGGCGAGAACTCAGAAGTCCTTCTCAGTTCAGCCACAGCCAAAGAACTTGCAGAAAATTCTCTGATGGGATCCTCCAAGTACAATCAAGAGAAAGTAAGAGCATCAGAAAAGCGACTTGATCGTGACCCTGGATGGACTGATTCACATTCTCATCAACTGGCATTCGAGGGATCATAGGCCAGTAGGCAGGCAGGTGGGGTGCCTGGGTGTGAAGGCAACTTAGCGTTTATTACCAAGAACTTAATAGTTAAAGTGGAACGTTACTTAACGTAGTAGTTTTAGATGATTCTAAAGCTTACCTCATTAGCCATCTTCAATCCTGTGATGTTTTCAGAGGTATTTTTATTTTGGAGTCAGAATAACTGATGTTAAGATACATGGGAAAATGAGGCTCTGGTCTCATCTTTGCTACCAACTGGCAAGGTTTTCTTCCCAGACCGAGCTCCTTCCTCTCTTAAATGAGAAGGTAAGGGCTTCCCTGGTGGCGCAGTGGTTAAGAATCCGCCTGCCAATGCAGGGGACATGGGTTCGAGCCCTGGTCTGGGAAGATCCCACAGGCCACAGAGCAACTAAGCCCGTGTGCCACAACTACTGAGCCTGTGCTCTAGAGCCCACGAGCCACAACTACTGAGCCCGTGAGCCACAACTACTGAAGCCCACACGCGTAGAGCCTGTGCTTCGTAACAAGAGAAGCCACCGCAGTGAGAAGCCCGCGCACCACAACGAAGAGTAGCCCCCGCTCGCCGCAACTAGAGGGGGCCCGCGCACAGCAACGAAGACCCAACGAAGCCAATCAATCAATCAATAAATTTATTTTAAAAAAAAATGAGAAGGTAAGAGTAGTTCGGATTTTAAGATCTCCCTAAGCTCTTTTCTGAGACTGGTTGGTCAGGGGGCCTTTCTCTGATGGGGGAGTCAGGGACACATGTGCCCCCAGTACCACGTTCCCAGCTCAATCCTTGGGTCTCCCTTACACACTGCCATCTCCGTATTGTAGCTGGGCCGTGGACCTCCTCTTTCTCTTCCAGAAATTTGACAAACCTGTGTAGTTTTTGTGGACCTGAAAATGATCTGTTTTGCCAGACACAGAAATTATTGGATGGAAGGATAATGAATAACTTTTCCAACTCTGGCTGCATCTTGTTTTGAACCATTAAGAGAAATACAAGGAAATTAAAACTTTCACCAAAGTTAAAACATCAGAACTTTTTCCTGAAAAGTTGAGTCCTTGGGCTTCAGAGAATACACGTGCACCTTGACTTAATGCCTTGATGGGCCACATGCAGCCTTTCTAACAGAAGACACTGTCAGTGATACGTACATGACATGGGCCTCTCAAACAGTAGCAGGGAGAGACCTTTGTGTGCCTCTTGTTACTCTGACACACTATGGACCATTGTTTTTAGGGTGACATTCGATTTTTGCTGTATGTATCATATGACACCAATAAGCAGCCTCTTAAAGAGTTAAACAC